TCTAGAGAGTGTGTCAGGTCAGCAAATGGATGCCCTACTATTGCTATATTTCTAATGTGAGTGAGGGAAAAGGATTTGACCTACAATATTTGTTACAATACAAGCAATACCCTATACAGAAATCTTAAGGTATCAAATCTGACTGAGAATGAGGGGAAGTCCCTCTAACTCAATTGTTTTGGTAGTTTCAAACTTCTGTTTGCTCAATATCCAAGTTAATACTTGACAAAAGGTCAGTCCTTAGGAAGTATTAATGGATCCCAAATTTACATTCCCATAGTTGTAAACATGTTGAACACAGACTTTTATATCCTACTTATTACTAGGTTTCTAGTACTTATTTCATTATCTATATTTTAAAATAAATGAGAAATATCTTTTTAATAGGATATTGACTTAAAAATTAGTCAGTGCATATGCTGAGATACATCATATATGTGAGCAGGAGATCAAAATATTACAAAAGGCTTTTCTTTCTTTAATCACAATCTAAAAGTTAGTAATTAAAACAGATTTAAAGTTGTTCATACTAACAAATACAATGTATATATTCGAGAACATTACTGTAGTATTTCTCTTACCTCTACAGATAGGAATGGGGAAGTCCCATGATGCCGTATTCACGGAGTTAGCTATGCAAGTAAGCTGAGGGTGGCCATCCAAAATATATCCAGTTACACAGCTGTATCGGATTTTGTCACCAACATCAAATCTTGTACCGTACAAGATACCCTTTGGTGGAACTCCTGGATTGCCACAGGAACTACTCTGTAATTCTGGAGAAAGCATATTTATTATTACTTATAATGTTTTTATAAATCAATACTGCATTTTGCTGAAGAATATAGAACACATGAATTATGGCAACTTCAGGCAGATAGTGTGTTTTCATGTATATTATACAACTCAACACTGAAAAGCCATTACTGACTTAGTCTATTCAGTATCTGCTTATGTACCCGCGTACCCAAAGGTAGAATATTACATGAAAATGAGCACGAGGTTTTCCTTAAGCTCCAGCTATAGATAAATTCATATTTTTTTCTTAATTTATAGCAAAGAACTCATTATATAGGACGAGGAAAAAAAGGAACTTGATATATTTCTGACTTTTAAGTTATACAAGTACAAAACAATAAACAAAACCATAATACAGACATAAAAGAACATCAGATTTGAATCAACCAAAATTTGGAAGAATAAATAAAAGTACTCAAGACAGAACACTAGGAGAAGGTTTTAACAATCATAAGCCTGAGCATGATCAAGAAGCTGTTGAATGATTTAATAGATTTTAGATAATGAGCCAAAAGTGATGAGATACTGTGGGTAACTGATTTCTGAGCAAACGATTGGTTAATTTAAACATAAGGAATACCATAGATCTGGGTGACTTCTACTCTAATGCAGAGCTTTAAACCATTGAGAATCCAAAATGAGTGGCGGCTCTGCTGTTAGTTTGATCTCTGAGGACATTAATTAGAGTTCAGTTTTACTGGGTGGTACTCACACTCCAACTGTGTACTCTTTTGACTGATGTTTCAGCATCATAAAGAGCTTGATTACAACATTTCCCATCATTTACTGCTGAAGTCCTTTAGTTAATGGACATAAAAAGATATATTTTGTACAAGTGTGAGCAAAAGAGGTTTCATAATCTCATCCTGAGCTCTTCAAAGCTTGTACCAAGTGTACTTGCCAGCCTAATGCTAACAGGGAAGAGACAAATCAGGTAAACCTGTCCTTGGATTCACAGCAAATTTCCCTAATCTACAAAGTAAGGAAACAAGATGGAAGAACAGAAGGGTATATATGTATTGTCTTAATTTCTTTTGCTGAGTTCCATGTAACTGAATTATTCTTCTGCATGCCTGATGTGCTCATGAGTGTGTGCACACAGGCACACACACATATATATATTAACATATTTAAATATAGTATGGAAAAAATAATTTGAACTGTTATAGTAGGTTTCAATTAAAGAAAAAAGGTATAAATTGTTATCAAAACAAGCAGTATGGCTCATGAGATACATTACATTGTCAAACTTCCATGCCAAGAACTGCCAAGAACTAGGATAAAACAAAACTATGTAACAGTTATTAAATGGAAGAATCCAGTACAATCATATATATATGCTACATATGCTATATATATCTATACATATATATGCTATATATAAAATATATGCTAACAATGTGTTCATCTGCAAGATTTGCTGTACCAATCACATTTTGACGTGAATATGTTAAATATGCAGGTTAGTTGCTGATGTCATTGCTGCTATTGCTTTCTTTCCCTTATGTAATAAACTCTGTGGAACTGGATTTGGTTTTCATTACTTTGCACGAGGACACAGCACAGAAGTAAGAAGATAACCTGTCTCATCTTGGTCACTTCAAAGCTCACCTAAATGGTTGATATACTTACTACTGCTTTATCAAGCTAAGTATTCTGTCCTCCAACAAAACTCCTCTGTCCTCAAATCTGCTTGCAAGCTTTACAAAGAAGACAATGCTGCAGTTGACTCCTGCATATCTGTTCAAAGGGATTTCTCTTAAATCCTTTAAACGTTTTCAAGGCCACTCCAGTTATTATGTATCATCATAGCATGTCAAAATAGAGGTAAGAATATCATCCTGTGGATTTTGGTAATCTTATGAATCATAGTATATTAACTTGAAAACTCTGCCCGTACACAGTGTTTTTATTTTCGGCTTCTCCAAGAAGATGAAATCTTTCAGGGGTCTGTATTTCTTACTGCTTTGTAAAAAGGTCACAAAAAGATTCCCTGTCCTTTGAAATGAAGAATATAAAGATTAGTGATGCCTTTAACAGTCACTGCCTAAAATTGCTAGCTTTACTCTTACTGCTGTCTCATCAAGAATTACCCACAGAAGGCAATATATTCTTATGAAATTGTATTTTAAATCACTAATTAAAAATCACTGTCCTTCTAAACTAAAACTCATTGTCCAGTTGCAATACTATATGACTCGTCTAAAAAGAATACTTGGCATTTTCCATTAACTTTTTAATATTATGAAAGTGGCTAGTGAGTATGTTACTACTTCTAACCCTTCAAGTCATTTTGTTCCTCATTCTAGATAATAAAGTAGAAAATAAATTGTACAATTTAAAATATATTAGTTCATTCTGTGAGTATTTTCATTTTGGACATAAAGTGCATTATTTTGAGGGGGGGTGTGTAGTTCACCAAGTAACTGCATTAGTCTTCTTTGATAGGTAGTACTATTTTCAAACTGAATGTGACAATGTACTACCAACTCCCTGCCATTTAAAGCTACGGATCGTTACCTTGAGATTGTCATCTGTCAGGGAACACAGGAATTGCCAAACTAGATTGTAATTTTTGTTCAGCTCTGCAGATTCTTAACTTCAGTGACAGTCTGATATTCAGTAATGATATGAAGTGTGGAAAAGTATTTCCTTTTAAAATTGCCACATTGTAATTTGGTTGAACTTCTCCTTGTTCATGTACTCTGAAAATAAGCATAACTGAATTTTTTACACCGTCCTACTTTTTTACATTTTTATTGTGTATTGTTGCTCATCTCCTTTTTAAAGCAAACTGTCCCAATTGTTTCAATCTCTCTGCAAGTAAGAATTTTCTGTCTTAGATTTCATTGTCAGTTATCTCTGAAATCATGTGCATTATTTGCTTGCACAAAACCAAAATGTTTTTTTTTAATCAATATTCCACCTCTAAGTAAGGTACATATGAACTTCTTTGTCCTGTATTTTTTTTACATGATGATAAAACACCGAGATCAAAATACACTTCAATGCTTTTCAATAAGTGTCTATTTCATTAATTCCTATTAACATCAATGAAAATTCTGTTCAAAGACTGTGGGTAAAATATGCCTCAGAGAGTTCTTCTTAGCAGCAATGGACACACTCCTTTAAAGAGTTTAATTAGCAGAAATTCAGCCACTTATAAATATTTATTAATAAGCTATTAAAAATTAAAATTAAATCATGTTACATATAATTTATTTGTGACAAGACTTTCAAAAACAAGGCTGGCAGAAGTTGAGACTCTCTTTTTCTCAGCATTCATTCAAGGAGAAACAAGTCATAACCAGATATGGAAATTTCAAATTTACTTTCTTTTTATTCAGATTTTAATTCAGGAATTTTTTCTTTTATATTTATTTATAAAGTCAAGACTAACACCTGTCCTCCCTAAACTGTTTAAGCGTGAAATTTATAACTTGATGTCCAAATTTCCAGAACAAATATTTGCAAATATTCCAGTAAAAAATGCATTTGTCATATCATTGCATTGCATTCAGCTCAGTGGAAGCTATTTGTATTTTCTCTGCTGAAGATTAATGTTCTTCACACACTAGATCTGATATAAGTCATTTAGGAACATAAAGAATTTTGTCTTTTTTTAAAGGATTGATCCATATCTTTATCACTGTTTTTGTTCATAGATATTACAAATCATTATGATCCCATTTTTCCCAACCTAAAGTGAGAAACACTGTCAATATCAAATATATATCTTCTTGAGTACTCACTCATTGAAAAACCTATGAAATATCCCAGTACAGGCTAATATTTGTTTCATTTATTACTTTTGAACTTGAATACTCCCCGTATCCCTACACTGTCAGTTTGGATATGCCCTGTATTACTGCATGGCACTAGTCCTAGACTGCTTGTTCACTCGTGTCTGTTATTCCAAACAATAATGCCTTTGCCAGACAAACCTGAGTATGGTCCACAGAATACGCCATTCTAGGGACTACTCCAGTTGTCTTTTGGGACAGGACTTGGTGTAACTGGAAATACTAGAACACGGCTGTACACAGATACCCCTTGGAAAAGCAATGCTTATGCAGTTTGTCTTTTTGACAAGTGAGAATGCTTTTGTATTGAAGACTCAAGACTGATTTCAGAAGTGCTGCATGTAGCATGTGTGTGAATATAATGAGTGCTATACATTCCAAGGGTCCCAAATATCAGGAAAGATGATACATTTGTAACAATATGAAGTAGCCTGAAATTCACCTATATCAAATCTTGTAATGGTTTATTTTAGTTGCACATAGTTTTCCAAAGGTTTTATATACTAAAAAAGTAACTTTGATGCATAGTTTCTACCTCAAAATATTTTGCTTTCTTTCTCAAAATGTATATTTTGCTTACTTTCTTTTCTATTCTGTCCTCATTCACGTTGCTCTGAATATATGAGTAAGCATGGTCTAGATTTAGATCTGAAAGGGAGTAGAAGAATTAACTGATGAGTACAGAAGTACCATTGTCTTCCTACATGCATATTGAAATATACATATACATACATACCTGTCCCACTTGAATTTACAGAGGGAAACCACAAGAAAAATTTGGAGTAAGCAATATCAGTGTGATGAAGGAAAAAATGAAAAACTTAATATCTAAGTGGCAATTCAACTGCACAAATATGTATGGTTCAGAGAGAAAAGAGACACTATAAATTAATGCTTTGAAAGATCTACCATGAGCAATACAGATTTATTAAAACAGAAATTAAATGAAAAAAATCCCCTCCACAAAATCCAGGTCTCTCCTTTGTAGTAATTCAACAATAACAGTGGTTATTCCTTGATTCCAACAGATCTCTGACCTCAAGATACAAGTGCAGAATGAAGAGTCACTATTCTGAAATTCACATTTGATAACAGGAGTAATAGAAATAACAGTTTGTCTAACAACCAAAACTTCTTGAATTTTTTCTTTTGCTTTCTGCATTTTATGTGGGTCA